GTTTTTAATTAACTGTTTTAATTATAGTTTTGTGGCTTTTGCAGCTTGTTTGTACACAGAGAGACAACATTTGTACAGTCTGTAATTTTAACACAACAAGGCAAATAACTTCTCTCTTAAGAATGCTGGAGGGCTTTGAATGAAAGGAAAGGAGGAATTTTTGCAGAGCAAAGCTCATTCTGGAAACCTGAAGGAGTTTCCTAAATGGATGTGGGGCTGTTGTGCTATATATTTGTAGATTAGAGCATGAAACCCAAAATGTCTTATTATGTTCATGCCTTAAGCCCAGGCTGTAATTTTAAGAATGTTTTTTTTTTAATACAAATGATCCAATAATAAATTAAATTGATCTTATCCACTGAATAAGGATTTATTGAGAAACAACCATTTTTCACAATATTAACTAAACAAGAAAATGTTTTCTTAAAAGTTATTAAACATATTTTTAAGATGAAACAAAAAGAAAAAAAATAATAATTTTTGAAACACTTTTGAATATAGAGCTTTGGGAAAAACATGATGTCCTTCAGAATTACTCCAGGAGTACATCCACCCATCCAGGAGTTCCCATAGCAACACATAAACCCCATATGCCTCAGTTAAGGTCAGAGGTTATGGCTGAGTTTTAAGAAACAAACTGATCAAAAATTGCCTCTATGAGGGACTTCCACTCACCAAAACATTAAATCCTGGCCCACATTTGAATATCAAAACATCTTGGAAGACATTCTTGAGACGGCCAGGACTATCCTTAAACCTTTTAGAACATGTACACCTCTATGATTCTGACAAAAACACAGCATTTCTGAAAAAAAAAAAATAAATAAATAAAAAAGGTCAAACCTGGTTGCAGTATGATGGTCTTTCTATGCTGGCATCAGTTGCTGTAATTGATCAGTTCCTATCTTCTGCTGTCATTCACGGTTACCTTGAAGAAGAATGGACTGACATCCATTTATAGACTTTAGTTCACTCATGCTGTTAAATAAATCAAGGAGTCCAAATCTGGTTGATTTACAAAAAAAAAACAACAAATTACTTAAACATGCCTAGTCAAAGTTTAAACTTTAATCTGATTGTGAGTGGGTGGTCAGAAACATGCTTGGAAGCCCTTCTATGTGGCTCATTTAAAAAGCTAATATTCAGCTATCAGAAACCATGGCTGTTGTGTTCAAGGCTAACACAACCAGACGCTAGGATTAGGTCCCTCTTGCTGTTTAACATAGAGCTTGATTTGTTTAAACAGCTTTTCTCCTTAAAAAAATTATCATTTAAGGGTCAATTTCCACTTCTCTCTCTCTTCATTGTTGCATTCATTGGTTTATTCTATGTTATGTATGGAATCCTTGTACCTGGAAAACATTACGTGTCCATTTGTATTTTTGATGTTTTTATCTGAACCTTAACAGTCTGTGTACTGCTGATTTAATAAAAAGTCCCATCGGAGTGTTCAATCTTTTCTGTCATGATTATCTATTTAGGATTTCTGTGTCTAATATTTGCCAGTCTTTGGACACTTAAAAGCCATAATCGTGTTTATGTAGACCCGCACGACCCCCCCAGTAGTTTTCCCAACCTGCTATTCTCAGCACCTTTATCCCCTCGGCTGACCCTGCACAGATTGTGACCTTAAAGGCTGTTGGTTCTGCATCACTGCAACAGCAGAGTCATCATCTGGATGCTTCTCAGCTTTTTTCTGTCTGGAAAGGCAGCCAGGAGGTGCTTGGCATCTTTCACTTCAAACAGGCTGCCTCTGAGCTTAGTAAAAGATTTCTTCTCCTCTGAGGTTTAGCTGAAGCTTTTATGTTGCTTTGTTAATTTCAAGCCAACCACATATTGATTCATGCTGCCTCAGAAGTGTAAAGGAGGACTGGATGTTCTGGTTGTTCCTGATGTTGATACCCTAAAGATGGGATATCAGCAAAAATTTCCTACTTTTTGATTCTAAATATATTTTGATATCTTAATTATCTAGCAAGATCACTTATCTTTAGATGTGTTTTAATTTTAGATGTAACTCAAAGTTATAATGTTCTGCTTCATGATCATTGTCTATTTCTGTGATTATTCATGTTTTATATCTATATAGTGATTTGTAAAAGATATATTTTAGAATTGATTGCTGCTGTTTTTTAATTGTTTTTGAGCAAATCCACTCTCAGAGGGCTCTCCCTCACTGGGAGGGCGAGGTGAGGAGGGGCTTCATCCTAAAGCAGATGGGAGGGCGAGAGAACGGCTGGAAGCAGAGCTTCTTCAAAGCATCACCAAAAGCCGCCCGCTCGTACACAGCCTGATTTTTATCTGCTGCTAGGCAACAGCGTTGAGGGACCTGACGTCTCCCATCTTGCCGGCTAGAGCCGGTTGCTATGTGTGTTTGTATCGGGGCGAGGTCCGAACATGACGCTGAGGCTCTGTGTTCAGAATTAGCTCAGCCTCTGGAGGTATTTTCAGAGAATATCTGTAGGTTTCTGGCTCAAGTTGCTGTGAGTGTCCGTTACAGAGAGGAGAAGTCTTTCACCACACAGTTTAGATGGTGGGTTAATGTTCCGGGTAAAAAAGCAGAGTTCCTACACAGCCTGGAAAGGTCTGGAACTTGCTTTGTGTTTTTCGGTCTGAGAATGTTTGAACGATAAAAGAAAATGACCTGGAATGATATTTTGATATCATTTATATATACTTTATTGTCTTTCTATCTATTTAAATGTCCTTTCTTTCTCTTTGATGTTCTACCATCTGTCCATCCTTGATCACTCTCTCATGCCTTTACTTTCCTCTCGTCTTCCTTCAATCCTCCCTACCTCCATTCTGTCCTTTTTTTCATTATGTCTATCTTTCTTTCCCAGTTGTTTCCTTCTTAGGTTCTTTTTCTCACCTGCGCCGTACATGTTTGCCTCTTCTCTCCTTTCTTCCCTTCTTCCTTCTGTCCATTCCTTTCTTTCTGACCCATCTTCTTTTCTCCTTCCTTTTCCATCCTTGCAACCTTCCTTCCTTGGAGGTTTGAAAAGCTGAACCCTGAAACAGGTCCTCATATTGTTTGCTGTGCTGCAGCGTAACGTTAGAGGCGGCTGTTTTTAGTTGTGCAGCAGTGAAGATGACGGATGTGTGCAGGTGCAAAATCAACTCCTTTTTAGGTTTTTACTTCTCTGTTCTGTCTTGGAACAGATGTAATTGTATATATATATATATTTTTTTTTATGTTCCTAAATCAACATCGTTCCCATTTGAAAATAGTCATTCTTTACCAATAGATGTAATGTTTTATTTTAAAACTTACCGTGTGCCTCAGAGTCAAGTGAAACAGACAAAAATAGTTTGCAGGCTGTTTTTCTCTAATGAAGATGGTCTTCTCTTTGTATCAAACATGTCCCCGTCTCTGGCCTACTTTCATATCTCACATAATTAAATCTAACAAGCACACTTGGAAGCTGCTGTGAAAGTGTTTTTTAGGCAACCAATGAGGATGTGCTGTCAGAAATGCTTCCCAGCCTTTTGTAAAAGTGTTGATCTTAGTGTTAAATCTGTTTAAGACTGTAAGGTGGGGTTTTTTTCAACAGTGTAAGGAAGGTGCTGACAGTAGATTATCACAGTCAGGCATCATTTCCTCTTCATTTTGTGCTTCAGGTCAACAGAAAAGGACTGATCTGATCTCACGGCAAACTGGGTTAAATGATAAGAAATTAAAACCTGTTTTGGTGAACAGGGCTGCTCAGACTACTGCTGATTCTCTGCAACTGCGTCTCGGATTGACGGCCCAAGACAGAACAGGGCTCTATTTAGCTCAGACACCAGCAATTTGACTGTCAGACAGCAAAAGTAAAACACATTTTCTTTGGAGGAAATGCAAACTGACCGGTTTGTCACAGGACTAGATTTTGTATGAATGCTATGAAAAAAAATGGCTTTCCTTCCTATTTAAGGTCATGCAATATGGACTAAATGGAATATCTCCATATTTGTAAGGCCTTAGTTCTTGTTAAGATTTTTCAAGCAGGATTTCAAGGGTGACGCTCCATTAAAAAAAATAAAAAAAATACCAATTTTCTTCTGCCTTTAAAAACGATTTTTTAAAACCTCTCATTTCTCCCTCACAATGTCTAGAGACCGAGGTGTTTATATCGTCTGTCACTGGATTCTGATAAGAAGCAACAGCTGCACCATGTGAATTGAATCTAATGGGTTGTTTTTAATGGGACTGAAAAATATTCTAGAGAGGAAAGCATTTTTGGCAGGTTGTTTTTTACTCCATATAAATTGATTAATTATTTGACAACCCACTAATGAATCCCTCTTTCCTAAATAACAGCCGGCAGGCAGGTGTTATTGACTATTTGACAGAACACATAAGTCATAAGTAAACACAAAGGAGGCTGACATTCTAATCTAGTGTTGCATAATCGTGACTTAAGAGAGAGCCGGCTCCCTAAATGATGCTCAGTGGTAATAAGTACTGAAACTGTAGAGTTTAGCACTAGACTGGCTAACACCTTTGGCTAACACAGCTGGAATAGCAGTGAAGTTTCAGATCTTGGTGTTATCAGGACAGAGCCAGGATGCTGCTGTCAGTGTGCTTCTACAGGCGCCGGCTGCAGGCGGGGGGATGAGTTTACCTGCATCTACCAAATGGATCGTCATAACAGGGTGTTTACTCTTGGTTTGCTGTGGACTGCATGTTCAACTAGACCAGGTGTTAAAAGCCTGAAAGAAACCAGACGCTTGAACTCCTTTTCATAAGGATATGAGTGAACAACGTCTCTGTTAGCTTCTTAATTTGCCTCCTCAGCTTTATCCTCACCAAAATAAAGGACTACATGAACAAGCTCGCCAGTAATTAGTTAGGGAGACATTTTAGGGCTTTTTTTATTATTATTATTCTGCGTTGCTCCCTTCTGAGAATGCCCTAATTTCGTTTTTGTTTTTTTTTTTTTTTTTTTTTTTTTTTATGGTTTTAGATGCATGGCTGAATATTTCTCATTTATTTCTCCACTTCCTTCCTATCCTAGGTCCAGAGGATGTGGTGATGTCATTCACACGGTCAGAGACAGAGGACAGGCGACAGTGACCCAGGCCTCTGCCCCACCCCCCTCCACATTAAAACCCTCCACCATCCCAACAACATTCAACTCCACAAACACAACACTGATGAGCTCAGGAGAAAAGGGGCGAAGGAGGAGGAGACGCACTACACGCCGCCGGGCTCTCCACCCGTCCCCTATCATCCTGCCCCTTCCTCATGTAGAGATGGCACGACGTCACCTGAGATGCGTTCAGGAGGGTCACTGTGGGCTGCAGCCTTGGCAATAGGGCCCTCTGTGAAAACACACATTGGATAACTATTTTGGGTTGTACTATTATTATTATTATTATTTCATTTATGTTGTGAGGAATACAAGTAACGTTCAGTTCATGTCGAGATGTCAGTGAAGCGTCAACAGCTGGCTCGGGAGAGAAAGCAAGTGTCCAGTCAAGATGCAGGCAGGATAATTAATCCAGTCTGAGAGTTGTTGAAATTATTTCTGCTTTTTAAATGAGCTTTCCTTTACAGGCTGCAGGTAGTTTGGGGTTTTAGCTGTTGGGTGTTGCTTTGTTTTAGAGGGGGCCTCATTCTTTAAAACCTTTTTGAATGAGCAGCAGGTTCAGCTGTGTCTCAGGATCCCCGGTGGGGTTCAGTGTTACTATTTACTACTTTATCATCTCATCGGACCACTCATGAGGTGAAGTTGGCGTGTAAACATTCAACTTTTCCAGGAATAAATATTTTAAAATGACTGCATGGCTACATGTAACCTCATCAACGTTTGTAGACTCGGTGCTTCTGTTGGCGGGAATTCATTTTAATTTATTATCTCTTTATATCAGGTTATGGCCTTTTTTATTGGCGACCCCTGACCTTCATCTGCTCGATCTGTAGGATTCTTAACAAGGTATCGACAGGCTAACAGATCAGTATCAGTCTTTCATGTTTAGTTGATGCTGAGGGGTAATGAGTCTCCTGGATCAGTTATAATGACCCCCGTTTGTTATTCTGCTGCTGCTTTTATTTTATTACTCAGTGTTTTATCATGATGAGGGATTAATCAGACACTACCAGACATAATGGAATCAAACAGGAAACACAGGTGGAAACATCCTTTGCTTTTGGGTTGTTTTGACTCATTGCTGATGTGTAAAACTTTAATATTATTGTTGTTGTTTTGTTTTTTTATTGTAGGTATAGCTGGAAAAAGTGGGAAGAATGAATTTGTGCCAATCATGTTTTCTTAAAACAAGCTATGGGTGTAATTTATCCTGTCCTGTAATGACAGAATTGTGATTTCATCAAATCAGGAGCCGCCCCTTTAACGTTAACCAGCAAACAGTGGCTCTTTGTTCACACTAAATTCACGCAAACTCTAACTTTTTAACGATCTAATCCAACCCACAACGCCAAACATCAAACCGTGTGCTGTTTTTAATCGTACTGTTATCTCTTGCACTATTATCAGCGGGATATGTTTTAAAGAAAAAAAAAAACATTTTAATATCTAGCACAAAGATTATTTGTTTGATTCACTGCAGGGTGAGAAATAAGTTTGTAAATGTGTTTTTATTTCTTTGTCATTTAAAGAAAACAAAAACAATTAAAATCTTTAATTGATGCAGCTGGACTTTGATGAGTGTTTGTGTAACAGCAGGCATATTTCCTAACATGCGGAGTTATTAAATTTGCTTTCCACTGATTTAAAGCCAAGCATGTCTGCTTTGTGGTTTCTCATGTTGATTCAGCCTCGTCACTATGACCATTGTTTGTACATTGTTGGTATTAACAGAAGCAATCGGCTTCTTCAAAATGTTAGAAAAAAAATATTTGTTTTTTTTATATGTGTGAGAGTTGTTGGCAAAAAGTTCAAACTGAATGTCCTCAACAATCATCGCAATGTACACAGCCAACAGGTCTGTCTGTATTTTATTTTTACTGTATTTTAAAACATGCTTTGTCTCTATGCATTTTTTTTTCTAAGGCGTTTTATTGTGCAGCCTTGGATCAGTGTGTGTGCGTGTGTGAGAGAGTGATGTCCTTAATGAGTTTAACCCCTCCTGTTCCACTTTTAGCATGCTGTTAAGTGGAAAGCGAGATTCTCTATCTTCTTACTCTGACCTGATGTTGCTTAATTTTCTTCATTTTTTTATTGTCTTGATCTTTTATTGTTTTTCTTCACAGTCCACATTGATTAGTTGGTTTATTTTTGTCTTTTTGGGGTTTGTAGGGATGCTGACCTTACTGCCCTGATGCTTCCAAATCCAACTGAACCATTAAAGAACTTTTAAAAGCGAAAACTCTTTTTTTTTTTTTTTTTTTCTTCTTCTGCACTCAAATACAAAAAAACATGCAACCAAAACAACGACATGGTTCAGATCAAACTGAATGTCAAAGTCAAGGCTGAAATACAACTGACAGTGATTCCACAAGTAAAGTTTTCTGTTTCTTTATTGTTTACAGAAACTGTATCTAATTTTCTGATTTTTAAACTAAAAGCCCTTTTGCTGTTAAAAATGTTTTAACACTGTTGTTGGGAAACACACAAACAGCCATTACCCTGAGCTTACAGAGGATAGAGAACTTTTTATTAAATTCCCAAAACTTAAAACAAGTCTTTGAGAAATAGAAAAGTTGGTTAAAGTTTTGCAACTAAACATGACAGCGATCTGTTTGTCTTTGGGAAGATAACTGCCGGCATTTCTTCCATTTTCTCTCATAATTGCACATTATACTACCATGCCTTAGTTACAGTGATTTGATTTCAAAGCGTGCAGTTTCTTTGCAAAGTGTTATTGAGCTGGCATGTGGTAAAATTATTTAGACAAAGCTTCATATCTGCAGATTTATTTCTATATTCAGTCATTTCTTAGCCACCTCTGCAACTGCAAAATAAATCTGACAGCTTTTTCCTTGCGGAAAACTTGGGCTTAAATGTTGACTTACCCATGGTTCTCTAAAAGTATCTTTACTACCCTGATTCATGACTTTAGCCTTACTTGGGCGCTAAATTCGGTTAATAAAACAAAAATGCCTCAGATAAGGGAAATTCAACATGTTGCAGGTTAGTTCATTCTGTTTTGAATCAGAATGCTCAGAATCTGTTGCAGCATTTTAAAATTACAGACTCTCCATCCAAGCTCTTTGAGCTGGAGCTCAAAAATCTAAACTGTAAAAATATATATGTATATAGTTCTGCAAAGCAGATCTGCACTGAGATTGGTACAGTGCTAACTCTGAGGGCCTGAGCACAATTATACCCAATGACTTTACAAAGTTTAATTTCACTTTGGAGATATTCATCCCTTTGTTTAACAGACAACTAGAATAAACATCATTGAAATTTGTCTCTCGCACTGAATTAATAGATTTAATTGGTATTAGTTTTTGCAGAAACATCACCTATATACTAAATCCTGTTTTATTGGATGTTTAGAAATGTTATATATTGAGTAACAGCCTTAAAATGTACCTCAGTTTTAAAGATGCCATTAAATCCAATTAGAGGGGTTTAACAATTAAACTAGAATAAAAAAAAAAGTCTTAAACCGATTGCAGTTAACATATGCGATCAGAGCCTTGTTGGCTTCACTCAACCAGCCACAGCTTCACATGATTTCAGTCAGCTGCTAATTGACTCAAATCTCTGAACAAGGTGTGATTTGGCTCCCATACTTTGAGAAAAAAAAAAGGAATTCTTGTTTCCTCTGCTAACGATGAACATCTGTTCAGTGTTTCCATACTTCCGTTCACAGATGAAATAAAAAAAAATTAGGAGACAACAAGCTCAGGGAACAGGTGGTTATTATGGCAGCAGCTTACACATTAGCACTCACTGACGCCCACTGTTTTTTTTTTTTTTTTTGTTTGTTTACATTCTCGTATTCTATTCCTTTTCTAATCAGTGATTGCATTGAATCCTTTCACCCAAAAACATGCAGAGGCCTTTTTGTTTAGAGCCGAGTAAGTCCACCCATCATTTATATTTAAATGATGGTAGGTCCATGATCAGAATGAATGCTTCTCATCATGTTTTGATCATTTATTAAATATATGTTAGGTATGAGAATAGATTTATGAACAACCTATAGTTCTGGTTACTAAAATAATAACATAGTAGAAATTCACAGAAAAACAGAGATGATCCAAAAGAAGCTCTGATTTGCTGAAACAGATGGATCAGCTCTGTTAACATCCAATCATGGCAATTGTCTGACATGTTCTTTTGTTTTGTTTTACATTTTAAGTAAATCTGAATGGTTTGAGCTTTTATCAGAAACCCAGGACTTCCTGATTTCTTCTAAATAGGATAAAACCCAGGTCCCACTGCTATTCACTGTATGTTAGCCGATCTATGGTGCTGTGGGCTTGTTTCCTCTCTAAAAACCTTGTTTGTTTCATCCCAATATCCCATAACTCTTAGAACCCTGAGATTACAAATAATCATCAAGTGGTATTTTCCAGTAAATGGAAAAAGATAATGGTTGAGTATTTCAATTCAGCATGCTTGTAGCGACAGCGGAGAGGAAAAACTCCCTTTTACCCTTTTAACAGGAAGAAACCTCCAGCAGAACCAGGCTCAGTGTGAGCGGCCATCTGCTGAGGCCGACTGGGGTTCAGGGAGACAGAAGCAGAGATACAAAAAGCAACAGTATAAGGCAGCCCTGTCCAGGAAACACACTGCCAGGCAGACGAGCTCCGAGCCAGCACCCATGTCAGAGGATGAAGAGAGCACATCCAGCCAGTCACAATCAGAGAAACAGGACTACACTGAACAACAGGTCGATCTCGAACATCTATTTATAAAGATGTTGATGGCTGTCACAGCCAAACAGGAACAGACGAGGTGAAGCTACTATGAGAAAAGCAGAGAGACCATAACGTTAGAGATTCTGCAGAGAGGGAGAATAGAGATAGAATGAAGCAGAATGATGAAATAGGGTCCCTATGTCCCCCAGAAATCTAAACCTATAGCAGCATAACTATAGAGATAGCTCAGGATAACCTGAGCCACTCTGACTATAAGCTTTATCAAAAAGGAAAGTTTTAAGCCTAACCTTAAAAGTAGACAGGGTGTCTGCCTCACGGACTAAAACTGGTAGTTGGTTCCACAG